GACTTTTTCTGGACAGACCTTGTATAACAATGAAAGTAAATCAGTTCGTATTCTGTGCACTAACACACATGGATTTTGTTGAGAAAACAAAAATTGTGCATCAGAGTATGATACCATAAAGAGGAAATTAAAGACATCTACACAAAACATTCTTAGGTGCAAAAATGTGTTCTGCTCCATAAATTCTTACTCTCCTCAGCATCTTTTCATCATCTGAAAAAGCTACAAATAATATGAGTAGAAGTTATAGTTATTACCACAAGCGGAAGGTTGAAGGCTTTTCAAAACCAGTTGCACTTACATGTAATTTCTTCCTAATCGAGCTGTTAGTGTTGATTTCCTCATGCAGGGTCTATTAATAAGAGAGATGTTTACTTCCTTACTGTGATGATCTTCGGGAGGAAGAGCTCTCAGGATGTCTTAAGGATTTTTTTCTTCCCAATTAGAGGACCCTTCATTAATAAATCACATAAAAAAGGAATCTGCTTTAGTATATTGACCACATTCAATTAGGCAATTATGATGTAATTTGCTTCTCTGTGTTGTGGATATACTACTTAGGGTTGTTAAATGTTAGAGAATGCTTTAGCGGTTCCTATTAGAGACTCTCATTTTACAGATGAAGAAACAGAGCTCCAAAGCAGGAAAGTTACTTCCCTGAACACAGGTAGCTAGTAATAGGCAGAATTGAGATTGAGTCCCAGGCTGCTGCCCAGAGCTCTGTATAGGACTGTACAGCACACTGCTCATGCACGATGATGGACTGTGCCCATACGCTACCCACGAGACAGATTAATCAGGCCAGTGATGAAAACAAGATGATCACCTACCCCCCACCCCAAAGACTAGCTTATTGCAATTATAATTTCAAATCAATTTGCCAAATACTTCAACTTTTTAATGGTTATGTGGACATTAACCTATGTTAATAGAGTATAACTCTAGAGTTTTTCCATATGTATATTTGTATAAATTATATATATTGAGTTGTATATATATTTGAATGTGTGCGTTGTGTATCTGAAGTTTGAAGATTGTAATGATACTTTGGGAAAGCTTCATGTTGCCTTCATGTCTTTTAACCTTCAACTGGAAGATATCGTACATGGTAGTGTTAACGCTCTTGACCTCATGGGTTATTTAAACACTAAGAGCTTCATCATTGTCCTACAATAGGTTTCCAGGTGATGAGTTTAGAGATACTGATGCCCATGGGAAAAAAATTCTCACACAGTGCTTGGAATAAATAAGTCTCCCTATGAGACTTTACTGGAAGGTGCGAGCACTATACAAATATTTTCATCTGGGAAATGCTCCACTATTGGAGAATAGTGGTTATTTTGACCTTCCGCTCACATTGTTCTTGTTTATTGCATCAGACATTGTAACTATTTAAAATTAGAAACTCCACCATTTTTCTTCCTTTAAGATGTATTTTTTCCCCAGGCCCTTGAATTTAGAATTATACCAAACATTTCTGGACGTATCATTAGTCATAGCATAATAATAAGAAGTGACTGTCTTCGATTCTGGTCATGTTGTCCTTATGTATGCAGACCTTCTTCCTTGTTAAAATGATTGCCCATGTGTATCTTAAAATTAGTAAGAAGTTTTAAAACTATATGGCAATAAACATTTAAAAAATATTTTTAAAGATTTTATTTATTTATTTTTAGAGAGGGGAAGGGAGGGAGAAAGATATATATATATATATATATATATATATATATATATACACACACACATACCAATGTATGGTTATCTCTTACATGGCCCCAACTGGGGAGCTGACCTGCAACCCAGGCATGTGCCGTGACTGGGAATTCAACCAGCAACGCTTTGGTTTGCAGTCCATACTCAATCCACTGAGCTACACCAGCCAGGGCACAATAAACATTTTTGCAGAACCACTTACATCCCAGATCTAATGTAATTGGCATTCGTTTTCACTATGCGCCCGTGATCTATGTGACTCGGCTGGCCTGTCTTTAACTCTCTTAATACAAATAATCAAAAAATAAAAAACTCTTTCTTATAGGAAATCACATCACTGTTATAATACCATCCTGGATTCTGCTTTGTCCATTTTTTCTTTGTATGTTTGTTTGCTTTTCCAGGGCAAATGTATACTGTTTTCTTTTTCTGGTTTACAAACATTAAGTCATAACTCCTCAATTTGCCAGACAGTAAAACTAAATAATTTTGGCTCTACCAGGTCTTAGGAAACCTCAAAAGAAATTTAGGTGTTACAGGAATAGATGTTAGTAATTCTAGTTCTTCAGCTCTTGCCTTTAGAGTACTCCCTAAATTGTGTTGGAGTGCGTGATTGCATTGCTGTGAGCTCCCTCTGCCAACTTCCACCCTGGAGATGGCTATATTTCACAGATGAGTGAAATGATACTTGTAAGCAAGTTTATAATTATTAATAAAACTTCCCAAACAATTTGAGCTCTTTAGAAACACATGTCCACTATTATAATTGTCTGCTTTTTTAAATTACAACCAATTTAGACCAAAGACTTGTAAAATGCAATTTATAAAAATTCTCAACTGAATTTTGGTTTTGTAACTTTCAGGTATCAAATAATTTCTCTCTGGGGATTTTGGTTGAAATTCCACCGTTGACTATTCCAATACACTCTCTAAAAATTAAAAATTCCTAAAGACTATTTTTCTTTGGGAAACTTAAAGTTGACAACTGCCCACTCTGGGATCCAGATGCTATATTCACAGTATGATGATTTTTTTTCCTGTTTTCTGTACATGGTCTTTATATACATTGTCTCTTAGGGATGAAAATTCTGCCTCCTTTTATACATTTTATAGTAAACTTTCATTAGAATGGCTTAAAATCAGGTCTTTTCATTCTAGACAGTGTCTAGCTGTTATTCCAGATATCATCTCTAGTTTGGTTTCCTGAAGACCTTGGTGGTAAATTGATCCATTGTCTATTTGTGGAGTGCCCATTTCATGGAGAATTCACACCAGCTACTGTGTGTAAGCAGCGCTGAAAAAATTATAGCTTTTGACAAATGAAAGAAAATCTATAGATACTAGCAAGTGTCAGCGGGTCCCTGAAAGAATGTTCTGGGATCTGGGTGGTCTTTGAGGTCTGCAGTGTCATCCTTTAAAGTCAAGGAAGTATCTTCCTTCCATAAGATTTAAATAATGTGTAATGTTATCTCCCGCCTCCAAGGTTTTCAACTCTATGATTGCTTTTCTGTCACAAATACAGGGTGGGACAAAAATAGGTTACAGTTGTGGGTACATGAAACACAGTTTATTCTTATATTATTATTTATGAATTATTATATTATTTTCCATAGGAACAACTGTAAACCCACTTTTGCCCCCACCCTGTATGCTGGCCCTCACATACCTCCATGTAATATACAAGTACATTTCACGAAAAGACCCTTGGGTGTTAGAGGTTTAAGTGCTGTGGCTAGTAACCTGTAAACACGAGGACACTAAAAAACTATGGAAAACTTAATGTCTCCCTCAAATAGAAAAGTTTTAAATCATGCCTGAAAATAATAATACCTTACACTTCTACGGCTATTTTAAGTTGGAAAAGTATGTGTACATCTATCATATTTAGTCTCAAAATTAGTATTAAAAAGGGAGAAAAAGCATTAAGTCATTCAATGCATTGAGTGCCCACTGCACGATAGGCACTATGAAGTGATGATCCATGATACATAAGGCAGTCCAAAGAACTGAGACCTCCCTTGGGAAAATAAGACATGGATGGAAATAAAAACAATAAAGGTAGTATTCAAAAGTCTCTTGTAAATGAGAAATAGATGGGGCAAAGTGAGCTTTAGAATTATGTGCCATACTATGCTAGGATATGTACATTGTCTAAAAATACTTCTCCAAACTCTGCAATAGCTATTTTATCAACAATTTATGGACAAGAGAATGGAATCTCCCAGATTCTAAATTCCTTGCCTCAGGATACTAAGTGCCTATCAGGAGCTCTGTACTGAATTTCTGGCAGAGCCTGGACATCAAGCGAGGCTCCTGACTTATCAGCTATTACCATATTTCTCCCACTAGATCAGGCAAGTGCGGGGAAAGGGCAGTGGTAACATATTCCCATTTTATTCTCTTAACAAAGCCCCTTTCGTCCAGACTGCACCGGGGTGATTCAGGTGTTGCCCTCAGGACCAGCTAAGGCAATTGTCTGTGCCTTTGGTGAAGGGGGCTGTTTGCTTTTCTCAGCTGATGGTGTATGACCAGGAAGGTCTCTGGGCTCGGCTTCCGAAGTTGGATAGTCTACTGGACTGCAAGCGTCCCAAGGGGTTCTTTTGACGTTGAGTCCATAGCGTCGCGATGGAGTCTTAGACATGAGTTTTCCTACCCTTGAAGCCACAGAGGCTCAGGGGTCGGAAACAGGGCCTGTGACTCCAGCCCAGTGCCTTCAGCGACTTTTATTCATACCTGTGTTTTGGAATCTTACCTTCTTCCCTCTCTCCCTTTTCTTGGGGGAGGGGGAGTAGTGGGGACCATTTCGGTCAATTAACAGCCTTCTCTTTTTTTCAAAAGAAGAAGGAATAAGGGGTTGAGAAAACTCTGTTTCGGGGCAGTGAAGGGGAGGAATGCAATCCATTACTATTTATCAAACTCCCGCTCTGTGCCAGGCACAGGCCATCTGGGACATAGCAAAGACAGCTTCCAAAGACTGAAATCGGGCCTCTCTCTACATGGGTCAGGCCCCGGTGCTTGACTGGCCCCTCTCAGGAGCGGTGCCCCGCCAGCCGCTCTAGGTACCCACATCCCCAGAGCCCAGCACTGGTGCTGGTGCTAGGCCAGAACAGCATGTGCTAGGCCAGCACAGCATGCGCAAGCCCAACTCGGGAGCACCTATCCTCGGAGGGGAGCTCGCGTCGCGCGCCCTTCGTCGCCGCGGCAACCGGGCGATGCTGACCTCTGACCCGGAGGCCCCGCCCCGCCCCGCCCAGGGCCGTTCTCGAAATCAACGTGGAGTTGGACAACCCGGAAGTGCCGCTGCGAGTGCCGCTGCTTCCACCGCCGCCGTCGCCACCCGCGCAGTACTAGGAGCCCTGGTCCCCGACAGGCAGAGCCTGGTGCCCGCCGCCCTGAAGCCCGTGGCTTGCGGCGCCGAGGCGGCCGCATCCCCTACCCCGGGTCCCACTCCATCCTCGTGACCCGCCCCCGCCCGGAGGAGGAGCCGTGGCAAGTGGGAGGTGGAGGGAGAGGTTTACTAGAGGGAGCGAGGCCGCGCGAGGCGCCGGCGGTTCGTATTACCGGGGTCGGGAGGAGGGGCCGGGCCGGCGGGCCAGCGCAGGAAGGGCGGTAGGCGCGGAGGAGGCGAGGGCGGCCTCGATTTGAGGAGGCGGGCGAGAGGCCGGGGCTACGTCTTAGGTGGACCAGCTCTAGTCTGCAGGGCGGGGGGCACCCTCCCACTCCGCAAGCCTACGCCAGGGCCGTGGCGGCCAGGCCTCACCTTTCCGCAGGCCGGGAGCAGTCCGCCGCCGAGGGCTTGTCCCTGGGCCCGGGGGAGCGTGAGGGTGCGGGGGCCGGAGCGGCGCGGCCAGGTGATGGTGGGTCCCTGTGCTTTTGAAGAAAGGGGACTCCCAGAGCAGCCGTGTCCTGGGTCTGCCCCTGTGAGGCCCTTGAACATCAGCTCTAGGCAAGTTGGGCGGTTGTGAGATTGCCCGTCTCCGTTAAGTGCCCTTAGGATGCAGTGATTGGGGACCAAGCTCTCCCTCTGGGAGGGGCTCTGCCTCAGCTGGGGACCTGGGTGCAGACAGGGACAGAATGATGCTGTCCGAGCAAGCCCAGAAGTGGTTTCCAACCCACGTGCAGGTCACAGTGCTCCAAGCCAAAGGTCTTAAGCCAAAAGGCAAAAGTGGCACCAATGACACATACACTATAATTCAGCTGGGCAAGGAAAAGTACTCCACCTCCGTAGCTGAGAAAACCCTTGAGCCAGTCTGGAAGGAAGAGGCCTCCTTTGAGCTACCCGGCTTGCTAATGCAGGGCAATCCAGAGAAGTACATTCTTTTCCTCATAGTTATGCACAGGTCCCTGGTGGGGCTGGATAAGTTTTTAGGGCAGGTGGCAATCAATCTCAATGACATCTTTGAGGACAAACAAAGAAGGAAAACAGAGTAAGTTATGTAATTTATTTTTAATTTGGGGAAGCTTAACTATAACTTATTTATGGATTTTCTGTTCTTGGAAATTATGTGTATACCTGGGGCATTGGTGTTCGGACTGAAATATGACCCAGTTTTAAGCACCATATTTGCATGACTTTGAAGTAAAAATAGCCCTTGTGAAGAAACATTTTTAAAATGGAGTCTTGAATGATCCCCTTACTCTCATTTGTTTGAGGTGTTCATCTTAAAGAATTGTATGTTTTGCACTGGGTTTTAAGTAAAGTAACATTGTTTCGCTACTTCTTATAAGACTGGAGCATAAGGTTGACCAGCTAAAACAACGAGTGTAAGTTGTCTTTAAACAACAGTTTTCCAGGAAATGGAATAGCAGAAAACTAAATCTGCCAATATAATGCCCTATGTAGGTTGAACTCTGAAGCCGTTAAAAGATGAATTACCAGATTTAGAACTTATGTCATTTCAACATTGCAAACACAGTGGCCTTTAGAATGCAGCCATTTTTCAGCGTAAGGATGTCCTGATGGAGTCTAAAGATGTTTAAAGAAAAAAAAGTTCTATAGTGTGTACAAACATCCTAGGCCTTGAACACACTAACGTTTTCCTTTGAATTTACCAGACATGGGAGCTGGTGTATTACTTCGGAATTAGCTCTGCAAAGTCAGTGTGTTTAAACCACATTAAAAGCTGTTAGATTTAGACAGCGATTATATTGTTGTGATGAAATGATGTAATGACATCTTCAGCGAAAGCATGGCTTTTAAAGTATGACTTTTTAGCTTAAGGTAGATATATTCTAATTTTGAAAACTGTCATATAGGTCGACACTGGGGTGTTATATTGAAAAACAATGTTTTCAGAGATGGGTGTACTTACCTCTTCCTTAAATGTAATTTTTTTGGTCTGAGAGAACATTATTAATGGGAGAAAAATATAGGTTGAATTTATAAGAGGAATTGAATTTTCCAAAATAGCTTTGCTGTTTGTTTCATTCATAACTGAAATTTATTTACCCTTTTAGAAACTTTTTTATAATGATAACTTTCTTGACATTTATATGTCAAGAAATGTTACATTTTCAAACAACCACCTCTTGTTTTTTTGTGTGTGTGTCTTTTTGCAAGCTTCTCTTGACTGGAGTTTTAATTTCCATTTAAAAAAAAAGTTTTTCATCAGATCTTTACCGAAGATTTAATGTGTAAGGTAAAAGGGTAGAGCGATAAGAAATACTAGGAATGCAAGACAAACAATGGTAAATATTTAGACTAGTTAAGGAGATGAAACTACTGTGAGAAAAAGGCACAAAAAGGCTTTTAAAACGTGTAGGTTGAATATATATCAGTGATTTTAATGAAATTGCTTGAGATCTACAAAGTGGTTTTCAGTTTCCTCTGAGGAGTTCATCAGATTTAAATGGAAAATGGATAATTATGAAATAATTTGTTTCACATTGCCAGTTTCAGGTGTCACTTAATATAACATGTTCAGAGTGTTCCGAATGTAAAATTTGAAGCACATTGTAACTCCAGGGTTCCCACTGCACTAACAGTGGGAAGCAGTGAGCGGTTACAGGCCCTCTCGGAGATGTGAGTTTCCATGTGCAAGTGCAGATTCTGAGGACGAAGCAAGGTTTTCAGGTTTCTTCTTGTTTTACTCCTTGTTGTTGTCAATGTTACAGTTATAATACATTTGGCTGTAAACAGTAATACTGTGGACTCCCTGTAGAAATTCTCTCTTGGCTACTATAGAAAATTGGTTAGAACTTTTTTTGGGCAAATGCTTTAAAATGTTATCAACGGCCCTTGCCGTGTTATTGCTTTCAAAGTGATTTTCATGTTATTAAATGCCTCACATTTTCTTTCTTTGTGGATAAATGGGGACCACAGATTTGATGAGGTATCTTTATTGGTAATATTTCTAGTTTTTTAATATATTTAATAGTTTCCTTTTGCAGCACAGCTGCGCATGTGGCACTTTGAGAGACAGGCTCGAGCCACTGGAGTATTGCAAGAGAGATATTTAATATTCTGCACATTGCTGAACCTTGTCAGCATATTCCCAAGTGCTTTAGAGGGAAGCCGTATGAATGGTGAAGGTTACCAGCTGAGCTGGAAGTCCCATGAAACCGCTGGGTGTGACACTTTTTATTCTTGACACTGAAGACAGGTATTTACAGCTTGTCTTCCAGTTAGGTCATGATAGGCAAAGAAATGTGACAGCTAAAACTGTTATTTAACTTATTTTTATACCTTTAAATTAAATACCTTTTTTTTCCCCTTCTTTTAAGACGTGGAGAAAGGGGGGCCTGAACCGACACACGTTGAGTGGAGCATAGAAAGGGAACTTCTGTGTCTCCCACTTCAGTGGGTGTCTGGGTTGCTTCTGGCATGAGATTTAAGGAAATAATACAGTGTTTAATAACAGAGTGGTACAATTGTTCATGCTGTTATGTAATGTCTATTGATTTTTTTTTTTTTTTACAACAGAAGTGGGTGATGTTGATTTTTTTTTTAATGCTCATGAAAAGTAATAACAATCAGAGTCCCTAGAGTTAGGTATGACTCCAGCACATGCTGATTTTAGGACTTTTGTGTGCGCCTCTGCGGTGCGCCTGCGTCCTGGCCTCTGGCACCCTTACCGCCAATATGTCCCGTTTCTGACCACACAGCACCAATTGGTTGGGAATAGTTCCCACATGTGGTGGTTTTTGAACATGGACCTGTGCCCACTAGCAATTGAACAGAGGCCATATATCATTTAAATCCAGCATTCAAGAGGTGAAAAAAAAAATCAGCATTAATCCACTAAGCCCCAAATGCTACCTCTTCATTTTATCTTTTGGAAGCCTGGGAAAAGGAGTCTTATCTCTGGGATGATTTCTGAAGGTCTCATTAAGACTTCCCCGTTATATCACTTTTAAAACAAGACAGCTAAGCTATTTGTCATGCTTGTATTTGAAATTAGTATATTTAACGTTCTTTGCAGTTTTTTTGGGGGGGTGGGGATGGGAGGAGGATGGTAAAATACTGTATTTACTGTTGTATTCAAGCACTGACTTGCTTTATTCTTAAAGTTCCTCTAAGTCTTTAGTGTTCCCTGCCCAAAGCAAAACAATGCAAAACACATCCACATGTACCCACATTGTTTTATGGCTTGGTTGTGTTAAGGATACAGTTGTATTATGGCTTGGTTGTGTTAAGGATACAGTTGTACAAATAATTCAGTTAACATTTATGTAGTGCAAGGCAGACTATCTTCATGGACCTTCACTCTGGCAGTAGAAACCTGCATTGCCTTCTTCTTTGGCTGCCTTGTCTCCTGATTAAATAAACAGTGTCCTGTAACAGATGAGCAGCTACGCATTTAATATTATTAACATGTTTGGTTCATCACATACGAAAAGACTTCTGTTTTCGTGCAGAAGTTATCCATCAACTTTGGATAATTTTCTTGTCGACTTTAACCTGACACTGGATGTTACTTCTATTATCTGTGCCTCATTTTCCTCCTCTCTGAAATAAGAATGCTAAAGTAGATGATGTATTTGGTCTTATTTGTAAAATTGTATGAATTTTGATTACCTTCATCCCCTTCCATTTATTGGGTTATTGTTTTTTTTTTTTCTTGATTTGCTTTGTTTTGTTATACACATGGAAATCCTACAGGCTTGGGTTTTGTTTGTTTGCTTGTTTTGTTTTGTTTTGGGTACAAACTATATTCATCTGTTTTCTGTAAAGCCTGAGGTGTCACGGAATATTTCTGTAGTACTACTCTTCAGAAGTGTTCCTTGCCCATTGAGAATGGCTCTATTTTCCAAAACTGGGTATGTAACCTTGTTGCATTCCCAGACTTTTCGAGTGCTTGAGTTTGCGTTTTTATTCCAGAGTTTATCGCTGTCATGTCAGGTGTCTGCCTCTGCAGATTTCACTGTTTGCCGCAGATAAAAGATTTTCTCAGTTTAGAGTAAATCAAGTTAATGCTTTCTATTCTAAAATATTCTCTTTTTTAAAAAAAAGATTCTTGTTTTGATGCAGCTAGATCTTACTCGATTGACTTGGTCCAAATTAACCAAGAAAATACTTCTTTGGAGTGTTACTTGCTGAGATGCAGCTGATGTGTGTATTGTTACGCGCCTGTTTTTTCTCCTGCCCGGAAAGACTGGTCTTCCACGTGGTATAGACTAAATGTACCTTCTTCTGGCATATTCTCTTGGTAACATTGACGGAAAGAACTAATATAAAATTAGGTCTGAGTTCCTTTGTAGCTAAGGAAATTCGTTACACTTGATTAGCGCTATATTTAAATAATAGCTCATCTGCAGAAATGGATATTATGCTTCATTGTTAAGTAATGTGAAAACATTGTAGAAACTGGCTTCTAGGCCTGATTTTGCAGGGCGGTTTTTGTTTTTTGGTTTTCTTGTTCTTTTTTCTTTTTTTGGCTGTTTGCCCTATAGAATGACCACTTGTAACACTGACAACTGGAGACTTTCTCATGGATAAAAACCGCTATGAACAAAAGCAAAACAAACTTTTGTTTCTTATACAACATTTAACAGTGGGCAGTGTCGTAGAGCTAAATGGCTAAGATCATGAGATTTGGCTCCCATTAAAATAATTTTTATTCAGAATTGTCACAGTAGCAATAGTAAATGAAACAAAGGTGGTAACAGGAAGCATTCACACTTTTTTCTTTGAAAACTCTAAGATTTATTACAATTTGTCACTTCCTGCATTTTATTTTGCACTTTTTATTCAGGAAAAGGCTTTTACCCATTTTATATTCATCTAAATTATATCATACGCAGTTTTTAATTAGTAAACTATATGTAGTGGTCTCCAATATTAACAAAACTCTTTTAATAGTGTTTACACAAGAAACTTTTGGATGGAGCTAAATGTTTATTACTTTATTAAAAATACAGACATTTATCATTTTATAGTGCCCCATAATAGTTTGTACTGATGAATTCTTTTGGAATCTGTACTTCAGTATCATTTAACTTTAAAAAATGTTTTTAGGCAATTAGCAACATTTATCCCAGATGGAAACATAATAAATAGCCCTCATTGGTAAGGATTTTTGATACAGTGATTTGCAAATCATGAAAGAAAACATTATCTGAAAACCTTTTCAAACTTACAGCAGGCCCGTTTCCTTAGTAAATGTCACATCCCAGAGGCAGCGGTAAATTTTTAAAGATTAAGCAGTTAGTGACAGCAGAAGTGCTCTGGCTGGCACAGTCTCCCCCGGTGCATAGATCGCCCTCGCGTAAGAGAGCTTTACTAAGAAGCTATTTGTATATCGCAAAGCTTGATATCCTCTCTTCATCACATGTTACAGCCCAGTTTTTCCTTTTCTTTAAGGTGGTTTAGATTAGAATCCAAACAAGGAAAAAGAGCCAAAAACAGGGGTGAGATAAAGGTCAATATTCAATTCATGAGGAACAACATGACAGCAAGTATGTTTGACTTGTCAATGAAGGACAAGACCAGGTCTCCCTTTGCAAAACTGAAAGATAAGGTGAAAGGGAGAAAAAACGATGGGACGTTTTCGGATACGTCTTCTGCAATCATTCCAAGTTCTCACTTGACTGATGCCAGTTCTGAATTTTCAAGTGGTGAGATACAGATGAAATCCAAACCAAAAAAGCCTTTCCTGTTGGGTCCTCAGCGACTCTCTTCGGCGCACTCAATGTCCGATTTAACCGGGACCCACGTGTCTTCTGAGAAGCTGAAGTCTGGCCCCACTGGTCAAACGCATCTTCTCGGCCGCCGGGTGGATTCCTTTGGAATGGTTCCAGAAAGCGGTAAGTAATGCTTTTTCCTCTACTCATATGTATCCTCAGGGGCCGGAAATACCCTTATAATTTTTAAAGTTCAACTTCTAAAATTAGAAAATAAAAATTACAGTTTCTTAATAGTATTTCCTAAATTGAGTGATCCAATAAAACTGTTAGGAGCATTAAAGGCAGAGCCTGTCTGCATTCAGTATTGTATTATATTATTAGATGATAATAAAAATGAGTCTCGGTCACTTCTCAGGGCCTGGCTTCATTTTTTTTCCCCCCGCTGTTAAGCTTCTGTCTGGAAAGCTGAAGCATAAGTGAATATTTTGTTTAATCAGAAAGTCCCCGGGAAAAGACCCGTTCAGAAGCATTGTAAGAAAGTCAGTGTAATGCTAATGATGGAAAAAAGTCTGAGAATTTAAAGCACTGGCATGCTGAGCAGCAGAACCTCTAGTTTTGACATTAGGGTTTGTGTATATGCTTGTTTCTACCAGTATCACTAATTATTACTAGCCCAGTACTTCAGAGTGCTGTCCCTTCGCATTTTAGGATTGTTTTCTTTGATTCTTTTAGAGCTTAAATCTTTAAGTAGCTAATTGCTCTCGTTCTAAAAAGCAGCGGTGTGCACACAGAATGTGCCAACTCGTGTGACGCGATGTGTCGCTGATTATGTACTGACTACAGAATTGTTTGCAGGAAGTCTCAAATCCCCCCACAGAAGAACATTAAGCTTTGATACTTCTAAAATGAACCAGCCCGACGGTAGCGTGGATGGAGGCGAGTCGTCTTTCGGAAGACAAAGTGACCCATTTACCAATGTGACTGCCTCATTACCCCAAAAGTTTGCAACACTGCCAAGGAAGAAAAACCCATTCGAAGAAAGTAGCGAATCCTGGGACAGCGGCGTGACTTTATTTTCAAAATCCATTGAAGTAAGAAAAGAAAATAAAAGAGAGAAAAGGGAGAAAGTCAGCCTGTTCGAGAGGGTGACCGGAAAAAAGGACAGCAGAAGGTCTGAGAAACCCCACAACGGGGCGGCCGGCAGCCCTTGTGACTTGAAATCACCTAATGCATTTAGCGAAAATCGGCAGGACTATTTTGATTACGAGTCAACTAATCCGTTTACAACAAAATTCAGGGCCTCTCATATAATGCCATCTTCAAGGTAAGCTTAACTTGGGGGAAGCTAGGCTATTTTGAAAAATATTGTACTTGAAAGCATGAAATACTCCTTTTAAAAATACTTGAATATTCTAATTTTTTTGTTTTACTGGAAAACAATTCTGATTTTTATAGTTAATTATGGAGTCAGACAGTGTTGCATACATCTTTGGATTTGAACTTTTTATCTTAGAAGGACAACAGAGTCTTAATCCCTGCTTATATACAGGCTTGGGCAGAAGTAATGCCTATTTGAGTGTGGTTGGTAGGGTAATAATGTGGGTGTAATAATTTAAGGTTTTAATTTGAACATTTCACCTAAAATGTGATATGGTGTAGGATACTGTTATGTTGCAGAACTTGTGATTTTGTAATAAAAGATTTTTGTGTAATAAAAAAGGGACCCTGTGCCAGACCCTGTATTTGTACTCAGGTGAGCCAGAAACTCACCGAAACTGATGAGGAGAGGGGCTTGTGAGGAGACGTGGTGAGAGAACCCCCAGTGGCTGTTCAGTGAAACCAGAAACTGGGGCGATGTGTCGTGTTCCCATTTATTATTTCCCAGGGGCGAGTTTGCCGGCTGTTTGGGGAGGATTAATGGACCAATAGCAGCCCGTGGGCTCGTCTTCAAGAAACACTGGCTTAGGTATTGATGGTTTTCATAATAGATGTTAACTCTCCTTATCAAATGGCGGTGTAGAACTAATGTTATTTGTGAATGTTTATTAGAACTCAGGGACCCTTGTAGGTACTATAAATACATCAAAGAATATGTAGTGATCTATAGTCATAGACATAATCACCATTATGATAAAGGTTTTCAAAATCTTAGTTCTCAGTTATGTGTGTAACAGTGCTTTTCTTATTCTTTAGTACAGGTTGGAACTATATGCCTTTAAGATTATGGATTTTGCAGAAGTGAACAGTGGAATAGCCAATTGAGGAAACCTCAAAGAAAAAGATGAATTTACGGCAGTTATAAAAGAAGTGCATGGTAGCATGTTTGTTGTGTGACACAGAAGTTTTTTCTCGAGGCAGTAATATGTACAGTCATAAGAACGTAGTCATACCCTAAATATGTCCCGTTTGTGGTGGGAATCCTGGCTTAGTAGCTCTGTGACCTCTGTCAATCTCAGCATCTCCACCTTTGAATCAAGAAAAAGAATTCCTATGTGGTGGGGTTGGGTGACGATAAATGATAAGTTAAGTACAGAGTACAAAGCCAGGCCCCAACAGGGAACCCGAAAAATGGCGGCTGCCATCCTGTGCCATGAGCTGTCGCGCCGCATTGTGGTTAAAAACAGCACTTTGTCCTGTCCCGCTGTAAACTCTCCCACCTCTCGGGTGAACTGATGGCACATTAAAATTTGCACTTAAACCTTTCAGAGGGAAAATGTTTCTTTGCTTTTCCCTTAAGCAGTAAATGGTATTTGCTGCGGCTTTAGAAGGTATCAGTCAGTTTTCTTTGCAGATTATACTCCAAAGAAGTACCGTACGTTTTTATCTTATGGCATTAATATTTTATTAAGGAGTCCAAAGTTCTAATATGTTATTCTGAAATATTTTATTTTGGGATTTTACATAGCGTACTTTACATGTGGCATTGATTCCTGAATGACAAGTGTAATAAGTAGGAATCCATTTGCTCTTTTCCTTCATTGACCTTGTTTTGAAGGAGGCTGTTGAAAACAACTGTCTGAGAGAACTTAGAGGTTGGGTACTTTGTATTATTTTAGGGTCAAAGAAAATGGGAAATGGTAGGGAAATAATGTTTTTAAATTAGGACAGCGTGTGGAAAAGCAGATATCTTCAGACCTTTAATTGCTCTACACTTAGGCTGTTTACATGGGCTGCCATGGATTTTAAACGTGAGCATGACATTTTGTGAGATTTAAGTTTTGCTTTGGGTTATTTCATATTGATGCATTTTCTATCAAAATTAGAGCTGCTTCATATTACATGTGTAAAATGATAGCGAGCATGTAAAATGACAATGGATTTTTAAATCTCAAGGCTCTCTTTTTTAATATTCTTTCATCTTCATATTCTGTGAGATGCCTAAAATGACATGGACAGAAACATGTGTAGATTCTTGGAGGCTACTCTTTCTTATTGTGTCATAAACTACCTTTGTGGTGAATTTAAAGCATTTGCAATAAAGTAGCTCTAACTAATAAGCTTGAGTGTGGATGGATGCAGGAGGAGAGAGTGCAGTCCCATTTTGGGAAAGCAGCTCCGTCCCGAGTGGGACCCGGGACTGTGCACGCAGGCAGCTTCGTCTTAGGTGGCGGCAGCCCCTGTTTACACCCCCCGAACCGCTTTCCGTTGGACGGGATGTTTTAAAGTTCTCTCACTCACACCCAGCCCGAATGCACTTTGGAAGCTACAGATTCGCATCACGAGGACATGTGCTGGGGATTATTATTTTTTCCAGTAGTGCTTAGTAGACCTCTCCACAGTTTTCTGGACTCTTGTGACTGGAGTTGGCGAGGCTGCTGAACAGGGTTGAGGGTGAGACGTGAAGAAACTGTGGAGCTGGGTTCTGCTCTCTGAGTCAGCGGGCTCACCTGGGACTGCCGGAGCCCGGGAACTGTTACTGCCCTCCACATGAGTGGTGCGTACCATTGCAGCAGAAGTTCCTTTATGCCAGAGCACTCTACAATGCCGAGGAACCCTTTCTTAGATGTTCGAGTGTTTATTCCTTAGTGTCAGTGAAGTCCACCTGAAGAAATCACCTGTAAATCACAGGACACTGCCTTTTGCTTCTGTTCCTGGAATGGACCCCACAGTCTTGCATAGAACTGATGAAGGAAGCGAGTTAGGGTGTTGGTGGGGTGAGGTCAACAGAGAGTGGGGCTCTTTGAAATGCTTTCCCCGAGGTTGCTGCCTCTCAGTCACTGTCCTCTTCCAGGCCCCTCTTTGAACCCTCCCCTTCTTCTCTGAGGGCGGTGGCTGATCCTGTGCTGCAGCTCTTTCTTACCCGGCTTACTTTCCATGGCGCCTCATCACTCACTGGGAGCCCCGTCACTCCCTCCCCTCCCACCACCATGGTCAGCTGGAGGGTAGTGCCTGCACTTCATTCATCTTTCTGTCTCCAGCATGATGCTCGGTAGGTGGTGGGTGTTGGAGAAACGTGTTTTAATCAGTGACCACAGAAGAGCTGACTGATTTCCTAAAGGGCTACTTCCGCTCAGCTCAGTGTGGGCTGTGGGTATCTTTCTGATGGGCCGAGAACAGATGCATAAAGGCAAATGTGTGCGTTTTTATGTGCAGCGAAACATTATTGAAAATCTGAGTGAGTTTTAAAGGACTATTAAAATTTAATATTCATACCCTAAATAGCACGTTTCTGGAGTTTATTAAGAACTCCGTGTTGGTTAGAATAGGTTATCAACTGTAATAAACAACCCCAGATGTCGATGGCTTATTGCAGTAGAGGTTTATTGTTGTCACAACCTAATTCACTGAGTGGGGGGATGAGAGAAGTAGGTACTTTGCTGCACACAGTAATGGGAGCGTCTCCTTCCCGTGATGCTCCCATTTAATAGATGGCCTCCAGGGGCGTGCAGCAGGGTTAGAGAGTGGAGGATCACACGCGGAACATCTCTGAGTAAGCCCGGCCTGGCAGTGGTGTGTAGCGCTCCCCATATGTCCCATTGGCCAGAGCTCAGCCATAGCGCAACTTCGGTTGCAGCCAGCTGAGAAATACAGTGTAGCTCTGACTCCGTGGAAGCGGAGTTGGGCGTGGTGAGTACAGGGTTCTGTGTTTGCTGCAGATGCTGGTTGTAAGACGTCTGGGTGCTAGCACTTGGCAGGCTGCAAAACTCCTACCAACACAAAGGTACATGGAAATGTAGTTGAAACGATCATTGTTTTACTGGTTTGGGTTGTTTGCGTTTTAAAATTGCTTCTATTTCTGGTTTTTGATTACAAATCACAGGTAGTTAGTTTAGCATCACCAGAATCAACTAATTTGCTTCGTGGTTAACCCCACAATGTATAAAGTCATGCTTTTTCACATGAGCAGTATATAGTTTTCCAAAAACAAATGCACCTAGATGTTTGTTATGCCATTTTCAATGCCATGGTCTCTTCCTCCATACCCTAAACTGGGGGGCTGTCAAGCAAGACTTGGGGGGAGCCAGTCTGGCTTGCTGCCTGTTTCTGTAAATAAACTTTTTTTGGAGCACAGCCCGCCTATTTGTTTATGGCTAGTTTTGTGCTCACTGGGTAGTACAGACTGTGACCTGCAAAGCCAAAATACAACAGAACTAGTTTGCTGAACCCTATACCAGCTGAGTGGAGACCTTTGAGAAGATCCATAGAATAGGAACAGCCTGGATCCCTGAGGGCACCTAACCACAGATGCCAGCTGAACCTTGAAGTTTGTCTGAATGATGAGTTCTCTGAGTATTAAATTACTGAAATTTTTATTCATTTACTATAGCACTTTGCATGATTATTGTTTAGCTCTAAGGGCTTTTATTTATTTTTAGAGAGAGGGGAAGGGAGGGAGAAAGAGAGGTAGAGAAACATTGATATGAGAGAGAAACATTGACTGATTGCCTCTTGCACGCGCCATGACCAGGGACCAAGCCTGCAACCCAGGTATGTGCTCTGACTTTGGGGAATCAAACCAGAGACCTTTTGCTTTGCAGGCTGACGCCCAACCCGTTGAACTACACAGGTCAGGGCCCTTCAGTTCTGTTTAAGAAAGCCTAGTTCAAAAAAAGCCAAGAGCTTCTCATTTGCAATACCAAATCCAAACCCTTCCTTCAGCTTTTTAAGACTTATTATAGTTTAGGCTTTTCTTAACTGTACAACTTTTCTTTTACTATTCCTTATCTCTCTCTCTCTCTGTTTTTGGTGAGTTAATTTCCTTAGCGCTCTACCCGGAGGCCTTTGGGGAACTCCCCGCGCCCATTCTTTGGCTCAGTGGTAGCATGTACCCTCCTCCCACCTGACCTAAGCCTGTCTACCCTTGATGCTGAAAACTCTGTACTT